AAATAATTATATAATATGAATAAATTATAAAGAATTGTATTATCACAATATATGAAATAAATAAAAACAAACAACAGTGCCAATCATGCTCTAGTGATCATTGAAATGGAATGCACTAGCTTATGAAGCCAACTTGGATCAATGGGTCGTAAACAATAATAATTAGTTGTATATAATGACGATGATTCCGTCTAAATATTATTTTTAGTGGTGCTTGATTAAGCTGTTTTCTTTAGTCACTGCTTCCTTGCTTCCAACACAATTATTCAATTTATATGCTGTGTGCAAACTTTCATCTAGTTGGAGAAGTGTATAATAGTTAAAAGCAACATTTAATAATAATTTATCTTATGGTACATTTTTCATATATCAGCCACTATATGTTTGTTTTAAACTAATTATTGGTGATTTGGATTTTTTTAATTCGCATCCAAACTAATATATATATATATATATATCAATGCTATTGTATTCAAATATTGGGATCATTATCGGTTCTTGACACATCCAATAAATGACACATCCAATAAAACATTAATTATTCTTCAAAATTTCTAGTTTGATATATAAAATTTTTAAATTGCTAAATGATACTCCTTCCGTTCCTTAAAGATACATATTTTTGAAAAAAAAATTGTTTATAAAATATCTATTTTTTTACATTTTCAATGCATGTTTTATTAACTAATTGTAAATTTCAAAAAACTTAATTATTCTAATTGATCTTTTATTGGTTTAATTTTGTGGAAAGAAGATAAATACAAAAACTATGCAAATTTATTATGTTTTATTAAAAAATATGAAAAAATAGAATATAGATCTTTTAAAAATAGAGAGAATATAAAATAGTTTAAACACTAAAATCAGGCACCAAGTCAAAGCGCAAGATTCATGCACACCTTGTCGTTTTATAAATGGTTAATAAACACTAAAATTACCTAATTATGATTTATTTTCATGATTAAATCGGTTTGTTTAGGGGTTGGACATCTAAACTATTAAAAGAAAAGTACAAAATAGAAATAACCCTTATATTTCCTCAAAAATTACAATAGAATGCCATTGTAATTAAAACACTGTAGTTTTGCTCTTACATGGATTTCCATAGGTTTAAAGTCCAATAACTTTAAATGAAAACAAAATTGCCCAAAACCAAACAACTCAATTCAATTTTAAAAATGACATTTGTTAATAAAATTGCTAAATCTCTTATTTTTTGTCTTTTTTTTTGCTTTCTAAATAATTTTTTTTTTAAAACTAAATATAAAATATAATTTTAAAATATAATTGCAATCACAAAATTTATAATATAATTTAATAAAATACAAAAAATCTTAACAAGATACTCTTATATTTTATACTTAATTATTTAATTTACCAAGTTAAAAAAGTATATATCAAAAAATTATTACAACTTGATAGTTAGAAAAAAGATGCTAAAAAAATGAACAAGATACACAGACATCATAACTCAATAACCTACATAAATATGAATGTTTTTTACAACTAATATAAATATATATATTTATACAGAACATAAATCCGCGTAGACACGCGGATCAAAAACTAGTATATATATATTACTAAAGTATAATCCTATTAGGATCTCCCTTTACTTTTTAAAATTATCTACATTACTATACCATTTCCCTATTGATTTTTTTAATCTGTTTTAATTTATTTTGTTATTTACACACCATGCCACTCTTTAATTTAGTGAATTGTTGTTGATTAAAACCAGCCAATAAAACAAATCTATTTACAGATCAAAACGTTGTTAAACTTATTAGGATCATTTAAATTACGTACTTAGCTATTACATCTTTTATGTTACATAGCACTACATCTATTAATAATATATGTTACTGCTTTTCTATTTTTACCTTTAGTTATTTAATTCAACTTAATTATTTTCCTTTTATTATAATACCTAATGACATAAATATTAACTATATAATTATTTTTTAACAAAAATAACGAAATATATGTGACCGTGTAGTATGTTTATATTTTTATAATTTACATGTGCATCAGAATACATGTGATAATATACCAATGATAATGCTAATTTTTACAGTTTACAATTAAAATCCAACTAGAATGTACAAATAATAGTTTTAATCATAATCGTTTATCAAAACAACTCTTTAAATTCAAATATAATATATTTCAAATTTTCAAACAATATACTAACCAACTTTGATTATTTTGTCATATATAAAATAATGAGATTTAATCTTAGGTTATTAAAATCACAAACGAATTAAATATCAAATGGAAATTAATAAATAAATGGGTTAAAATTTTGTTTATTATATCTACCAAAATTAATTAACCTTTTTAATGGGATTATTTGCTATAGAGGAATTTCCTTTGCTATATACGAGTCTAAAATTTAGATAACATCATGAATTGTAAAATAAAATAAAATAAATTAGAATAAGATTTATTTGATATAGTTTTGATTAAATTTAATTATATTCTAAATCAACATTGCATAACTTTCCTAATATATGCATTTACAAACTATAATTCTACATAAATTCTAATTAATAAATTATAATTATTTTATATTAATATTTACAAACTTAAAATAGACTTTTCTAAATCAACCGCTTGATGAGTAGATAATTTTATGGATACCATTTTTTCCAAATTATTACAATATACAAAATTTTTTTTTTTAAGAAATAGGTTATACAAATATAATTGTATTTCTATTATGAACTAAAAAGCTGGTTAATAATTTTATCAACAAAAATAATTATGCGTTTTGAAAACGTGGATCAAAATCTAGTATATTTATATAGAGAGATGTTATTATTGACTTATAAATTTCAGTTAATTACAACAGAAATTCGATTAAACACATGTTTTGTTTTTACCCCACGTATTTATCAAAAAAAAAAAGTCCAAGCTACATTGTAAATATTAATATACACCACACCACATGTTGTAGAATTAACTAGAACACACGTTTGTTATGTTTACCCATACTCGTCGACTTTTCTTGATTTTGTTTTTGGCTCTCATGTCAAAACAAAATAAGAAAGAAACTTGGTCAAACCATGCATTTCACACACTATGAATTTGGGTAAACATTCATGCACCATTTGAAATTTCCCACTCTAGTGGGTGGGGAGCTTCATCATATCTTTCCCATAACCTCTCCATATATGAATCAACTTCTCCAGACCTACACACTACTATTATTTAATTCTATGCCCCTTAACATAGCACTCATAAAAATGTATATTTTCTAACAAAATCGTAAATCACGTGGAAATGCAAAACAAACATACTTCGAGACCATTCGATGGACATTTTGGCGATTCTACAAATCTCGTCGCTACGTATCCGTAACCGTTCAGGCGCAAAAGGCCAAATAGTAATGAGCCGAATACGTTTTAATAGCCTAATAATATTGGGCCTTCTGAATATATCTTTAATAACCCGTTGCTCGAGCTTTTGCTATCTTGGTCGAGGGATACGTCCAAGGAAAGAATGCTATGAGTTACTTGTTGATATTGTTGCAAAATTTAATTATAGTCCGCGGGTCTCGTCTTGTTTGATTCGCTGAGAAACGGATGTGTGTCTATCGATTTGAGAAAATTAAATAGCGGATGCGGGTCAAATGTATTTCATGCGGGACGCATGCGAGTTGGTTTAATTTAAAATAAGGATACCCGCTGAATCTTTTTTCTTTAAAAAGTATATTTTTTGAAACAAAAAACCTAAATTTGTTAAAAATAAATAAAATCCCAAAAAATAATTAAAATATATTAGTTATATTATTTTTTTAAAATAAATATAATAATTAATTTTATTATTTACTAATTATTCGCGGGCCCCATGGATTATTCGCAAAATTAAACATGACGGGTGTGGATAAAATATATTCTCATTGTGTGTCAGACGGATCAAAATTTTAAATTGAAAAAATGATTCAACCCGCTGGATGACGGATCGGGCGGAGCGGATTTGACTTGCTTCCCAACACTACTTGCTCAGATGAAAGGAAATGGGTGAGAGCGGCTTCAGACCCAATGCAGTTATTATATACACAACATTGATCAAAACCTTTCTCTAGAGAAGTAGGTTTTGAGATGCAGTGAGGATGCCTAAAGAAATGAAGGAACAAGGGATCTCACCAGATACATTCTGCTACAATTCCCATATAATTAGCCTTTCAAAGGCCAAAAAGATGGAATTAGAATATGAAATATTCTGAAATAAGTCCATTGAGATATGATACGAAAAAGAAAGAGTGAATTAGGATCTTCCAACCCTTTCACAATCACAGTTAAATGAGATGATACGAAAACAAAGAGTGAAAAAGCTTGGATCTCCCAACCTTTTCACCATTACAGCTCACAACAATTATTAAATAGTCTGAAATAAGAGGTATGAAGTAAGCCGCTTTAATACAGATACATAATTATAGCCGCCCACGCACATGAAAAAGAGCTGGCTCTATCTTCCACGGGGATACTTTATCAGGGCGAGGGATACTAGTAGTCTCATCCCATTGTACCTGAAACCAATTAAATATTTTTAGCATTTCATTGGAATAACAATAGTTTTGATCTTCTCCAAATACATACCTTGAGGGATCTCCATTTTGATTCTGCCCACCTTGTGGGGTCAGAGTCTTCAATCCCAACAATTGTCCCAGTAAACCTAATATAAATCAATAAAACAAAATGTGAGCTTCGTCTTTCAAAGGAAATAACTGAAACAAAATAAACAGTTTATTGGTTTACCTCTGCTCAGGAGTCTCTTCGCCTTCAAATCTCATTTTAAACCTCATGCCTATGAAGTAGTTGTTCTTCACGGACTCCATATACTGATCAAACGGAATAATAAACTCAGATGGACTAGTCCTGTCACAAAGAAAACCACAATACATGGAAATTTATTAAAAGCAACACTGACAGACATTAGACATGGAGACAAACAGAAAAGGCTGCCACGTCATGTTAGCTAAAACAAAAACAAACCTTGGTTTATAGTCTACAGTAAACATGGTTCCTGTTGAAAGAGCGTGCCAGGCAGTGGCCAATACTCCAACATGCATGCTGTGGCTCGATATAACAGAGGATGGCACATTTCCTTGTTGTCGCATAGCACGCCTTAAACCCACACGTAATTCCCCATTCTCACCCCTACAGAAAAATCAGATATTACAGAACACCATACACAACTCAAGAATACCATGAACAAAAAACAAACCAACAAACCTCAGAAAGATAAATGCATCTCCTGCAATCATCCTTTTGGAGCTAACAAACACGCTCCACCCACTCTGAAACAAATGCCTTCCTGGTTGACCTGCCATAACACCATTACGAACATCAACAAACAAGAAATGTATAAGATACCATTAATAAGACTGATACAAACTCATATTACCTCGAAAAATATGTATGAAACGCCACTCATTTGCATGCAAATCTTTTGCAACCAACTCCTGATTAGGAGGTTGACATGATATATCCTGAGAAAAGAAACAAAATGTAAGAGTGAATTAAAGAGCGTCTAAGAACAAACTTCAGGAACACAAACCAGAGGAGGGAGACATTCATCCGCGTGTCGCCTAAGTACAGAGAATCCACCATGCGTACTTGTATCCGATGCAGTCAAGGTTTTGCAGAACGAGTGCACCTGGAACCTCGGGGGCGGAGGAGGAGGAGTAGCCTCTTTCTCAATTACATTCTCGTCTTGCTGCAACCAAAAAATATAGGTATCAGTTTCTTGAACATTTAATATAATCATATCCTACACTCCGCTCAAACATCCACAAATGGAACATAAAAATTTACAACTTACAATACGCTCGGGAAGAAGAGTAATCTTCGCATAAACCTCGTCGGTGTCATCATCTGCCTGCAAAATCAAACTATAGTTAGCTAACAATTCAAGACTCAAAAAAAAAAAAAAAACAATTCAAGACTTAGAAACCAAACATTTATTTTTATTTACTAAAATGAGAGTGATGGAAACCTACCTTTAAATCAACATAAATGACTCGACAAAGGATCTTGGAAGGAAGATCATAGAGAGGCATCTGCTGTTCAGCTGCTTGGTTTGTTGATGCCTCCACCTACTCATCAACAAAACAACCAAAAATTAAAAAACCAAAAAAAAAAACAAAAAAATCACAGATAAAAAAAACCTCACCTGCTCAATATGTCCCTGAGGGAAGTAGAAGACACGGTCACCTTGTCTAGGTACCATCACGAGAGGACCAGCACAAGCGTGCCAGAGCTCTCTGTAGAGAGCAGCTTCAGGGTCTACTATACAAACCAAAAATTAAAAAAAACTAAGAAAAGTCGGAAACTGAGACAAAGATCGGTTAGACTTAGTTTTATTTGCCTCACCAGCGACTGTTGGTTCACTGTAAACAACTTCTCCTCCACGATTTGCTTTCATANCATCACGAGAGGACCAGCACAAGCGTGCCAGAGCTCTCTGTAGAGAGCAGCTTCAGGGTCTACTATACAAACCAAAAATTAAAAAAAACTAAGAAAAGTCGGAAACTGAGACAAAGATCGGTTAGACTTAGTTTTATTTGCCTCACCAGCGACTGTTGGTTCACTGTAAACAACTTCTCCTCCACGATTTGCTTTCATAGAAACCTCTGAATTCGCCATACTTTTCTGTATTCTTAAAACCACGAAGAAGTCACTATCAGACCAACCCCTGCGTCCTTGTTTATTCTTAAATATTAATATTGCTTAATCTTTACATTAAAATGGAACCTTTTTTTTTGTTCAAATACACTTGTTGGAGATGAGAAAGTGTGATTGATAAACCAAGTTTATGTAGATCAGAAAAGGGGATTAGATAGAGAGAGAATAGAAGATAAGATAAGATTTGTTGTAGATCATTTGATATCCACAAATGTTTTTACAACTCGTTATTAAATAGGATAAGCCTCACTCTTAACAAAACGACATCGTAATATAAATTGAAGATTTTATTAAACTTTCTTTTTTAGTAAGAGTTTTTTCTTCCTCGTTTCTTCCTTCGTAAGCAACATTCATTCTCTTCTTCGATCTCTGTTTCCTTCAAATGAAAGCTAAGGACACAGAAATGGGATTAGATAGAGAGAGAATAGAAGATAAGATAAGATTTGTGGTATTGATCATTTGATATCCACAAATGTTTTTACAACTCGTTATTAAATAGGATAACCCTCACTCTTAACAAAACGACATTGTAATATAAATTGAAGACTCTATTAAGCCTTCCTTTTCAGTAATTAAGAGTTTTGTCTTCCTCATTTCTCTCTCCTAAAGTAACGTTTATTTTCTTCTTCGATCTTTGCTTCCCTCGAATGAAAGCTAAGAGCATAACTAACTTATCAGCGATAACGTAATTTGTTTTGATAAAGATCAATGACTAATTATTTTTATACTAAGAAAAAACTGCTCTTCACACGGGATTTGGTATTTTATCCAAAGAAAAAACAAATTCTGTTTGTAAGTGTAAGTAGAAATAATTACCCTTAATACTCATTGTAAAATGTTATGTTATTTATGAGTAAGAACTGTTATTTGGTAATTAAATTTTTTTATATATTTTTATTAATGAAACAAAGCAAAATCAAATAAACTAAAAATTTGAAGACAGTAAATTTTGTAATATACAACTATACTTACAAAAACATCACATTTCAAAATATTTGAAGAATAAGATTTTTAATTGTTTACATCATAAACTTATATCTTATCAGATTGGTATGTACTAAACACGTGTCTTCACTTGTACATATTTTAAATTATAATTGACTTTTTGAGTAGTTTTTTTACTTTCGAATTAACAGTTGTGTTTTTTTTTGAAACTGAATTTCCTTATATTCTATCTGATAGGTTTGAAAGTATAGTCTATTCTTTTTCATATTTTTGTCCTTATTTTATGTTACATTTGTTTGTTGTCAAAAAAAAAACTTTAATTTCATTGATTGACCAAATTTTCTAATACAATTTTTTAAGTGTGCTTATGTTCTATTTTTATTATATCATTGTATATTTGTCTAATTGGTTTGTTTTGTAAAGCCAACGAGTTTCATTTCGTTTTTTATTTGTTTATACGTGTCTATTTATTTTATATTATGTCTATGTTGAATATATTTTTAATGGGCCACATAATTTTTATCAGCCTCTCATAATAATGGGCCTTCTGACTATATTTTTTAAAACAGTGAGATAATGTTTTATTTTCTTTAAAAAATATCGGTTTTCACCGATGAGGTTGTTGAATCTCCGGTATCGGAGATACGATGGCGTCAACGTTGTTTAGGCGAAGATGCTTTGTTTCGTTCCCGAAATGTCTACTTCTCCGATCATTTTCCGATGACGCATCATCCGAAATCGCGGGAATCCTCAACAAGGTGTCGAACTAGCGCGACGCCTTGGAATCTTCGAACCTATCGGCGGAGATAAACCCCGACGTCGTTCTCTCCGTCTTGCGATCAAAACGCGTCGACGATCCCGCCAAGCTCCTGAGATTCTTCGATTGTATCGATTATCAGAAGGTCACGGAGCAGAGACTCGATTCGTTTTCGTTTCTCGCTTTAGGTTTGTGTAGATTCGGTAGTTTAGGGGAATCTCGTAGTGTTGTGATCAGGATGATTGATAAGAAGTGGCATGTAGGTGAGGTTTTGAGCTCTGTTGCGAGGTGTTCGAGAGAGTTGAGTGATGGTGGAGGAGGAGGAGGAGGAAGAGGTGTATATGAGATGTTGATTGATGTGTATGTTGAGAGAGGGCGTTTAGATGAAGCTGTGTTTGTGATTACAAACAGTATGGATTTGGTTCTTGATTTTTCAAGATTTCATAGTTTGTAGGATGTGTTTTTGATGAGGAATCGGTTGGAATTGTTTTGGGATGTGTATAATGAGATGATGCTAAATCATTGGTGGTTCAGATGAATAGTTTCGGTGTGTTTCCTGATAAATTTACTTACACTGTACTGATTGAGTGTTTACTAAAGGGGAGGGATGCAGATGCTGCTAATGGACTAGTCTTTTTTTTTATAACTCGGGTGTCATGGCCCTCACCGTGGTGAATCCAGAATAGAGACCGAGGCAAACACGAACCACACGGTGACCAGGGTCACACGAGGGACATGGGTTGCACTAGAACTGCCTTCGGTCCTGGGACGCTGCAGAACCGCATGTGAATAGCGCAGTGGCTTGGATTCAAATAAGGTGGCGGAACTCACAGCCATGAGCCTTTTACCACCAGAGCTAGAAGCCCGGTCTAGTCCATGAGATGGTTTCTCTTCTGATGAATATTGATCCTAAGGTTGATGACTCTTTTATTTTTGTGATGTCAAAGGAAGGAGCTATGGAGAAGGCTAGTGCTCTCTTTGATGGGATGATTGAATTTAACATGAAATATAAATCTTTTTATATGTTCATTTATTGATTTTTTTTTTATATATATATATATATATATATATATATATAGTATCTAATTCATTACAACAACAAAAAACTATTTCAAATTAGGCATGCAACTTGAAAATCTAATACTAATTGTTAGTACTATTTATAAAGGTACTTATTTTTTGAATTTTGCATATGTTATTATAAATAATGTGAAAGTAAACCATGTTTTTTAAAATTATTAAAAACAGTTTATTGGTAATATATAAGAAATTACTATATATTATCTAAATTTCGATAATTTTATTTTAATTATTGATAAACCAAGTTTATCTAGGATAGAAAAGAGGATTAGATAGAGAGAAGAGAAGATGAGATAAGATTTGTTGTATTGATAATTTGATATCCACAAATGTTTTTACAACTCGTTATTAAATAGGATAAGCCTCACTCCTAACAAAACAACATTGTAATATAAATTGACGATTCTATTAAACTTTCCTTTTTAGTAAGAGTTTTTTCTTCCTTTTTAAGCAACGTTCATTCTCTTCTTTGATCTCTGCTTCCTTCGAATGAAAGCTAAGGGCATAGCTAACTTATCAGTGATATGACGTAACTTGTTTTAATAAAGATCAAAGACTAATTATTTTTATACTAAGAAAAAACCGCTCTTCACACGGGATTTGGTATTTTATCCAAAGAAAAATAAATTTTGTTTGTAAGTGTAATTAGAAATAATTACCCTTAATACCCATTGTAAAATGTCATTTTATTTATTAGTAAAAACTGTTATTTGGTAATTTAAAGGATTTTAAGACAATAAATTTGGTAATATGATACTATACTTACAAGAAGATCACATTTCAAAATATTTGAAGAATAAGAATTTTAATTGTTTACATCATAAACTTATATCTTATCGTATTGGTCTGTACTAAACACGTGTCTTCATTTGTACATATTTTAAATTATAATTGACCTTGTTTTGAGTAATTTTTTTACTTTCGAACTGAAAGTTTATGTTTTTTTGAAATTGAATTTCCTCATATTATTTGTTTGAAAGCATAGTTTATTCTTTTTAATATTTTGTCCTTATTTTCTTTACATTTGTTTGTTATCAAAAATTAAAACTTTAATTTCGCTGATTGACAGAAATTTCTAATAAAATTGTTTAAGTGTGCTTATGTTCTTTTTTTAATATGTCATTACATATTTTTCTAATTGGTTTGTTTTGTAAAGCCAACGAGTTTCGTTTTCTTTCTTTATTTTGTGTCTTTTTATTTTATATTATGTCTATGTTGAACTCTTAGTATATATTTTATTTTTATATAAGTAGAAAAGATATAGTTAAAATTTTTAAGTCAGTGTGTAATATTTTTATTTTTTTACAATTATTTGAATACAATAATATTAGATCTTGTGTTCATAATACTTAAAAATAATATATTTCTTTACTATTAAAAACAATTTAATAACATATTAAAAATGTTTACTTTATTTTCAGTTAAATTACATTAACTTTCACTATTTTCTTAAAACAACTTGCAATATTTCTTATTATTCTTAAATATATATATATATATGTGTGTGTGTGTGTGTGTATGTATTTTTCATTTTCTATTTCACTTTGATATTAAGTAAATTGTAATTGTCAAAATAATAGTTGATTGAATATAACATGAAATGTAAATATTTTTATATGTTCATTTATTGAATTCAGATATATATATATATATATATATACATATATTTAATAGTAGCTAATTCATTACAACAATAAAAAAACTATTTCAAGGTATGCAACTTGAAAATCTAACACTAATTGTTAGTACTATTTATAAAGGTATATATTTTTTTTGAATTTTTCATATGATATTACAAATAATGTGAAAGTAAACCATGTTTTTAGAAATTATTAAAAACAATTTATTGTTGATATATAACAAATTACTATATATTATCACTAAATTTCAATAATTTTATTTTATTTATTGATAAACCAAGTTTATCTAGGATAGAAAAGAGGATTAGATAGAGAGAGAAGAGAAGATAAGATATGATAAGATTTGTTGTATTGATCATTTGATATCCACAAATATTTTTACAACTCGTTTTTAAATAGGATAAGTCTCTCTCTTAACAAAACGACATCGTAATATTCATTAATATTTGTGGATAATATAATAGTGTTTTATGATATTTAGTTCAGATAATAAGAATTTGAAAATTTTAGAACTATTCATTAATATTTTTTTTTAAAAATATGTTTATATGTAGTTCATATACACATAACTGATGAGGTGGCTTAAAGAGAAGAAAAACAAAGTCTTCTTTATATAATAAAATTTTGCGAAATGAACCAAAGAATCTGAGTTTTTTTTTTAAATTCGAATTTTTATATTTCATTAAAGTTTAGTTAAAGATTTATAGGAAAATAATTCATAGCGCCATTTTATATATGTTTCAATCAAAATACATTCGTTTTTCCTTTGTCGTCCTACAGTTCCGTTTTAATGTTTTTCACACGCACTGTTTCAATGAGAATATTCTGAAATAAGTCCACTGAGATATGATACGAAAAGAAAGAGTGAACAGTTAGGATCTTCCAACCCTTTCACAATCACAGTTCAATGAGATGATACGAAAACAAAGAGTGAAAAAACTTGGATCTCCCAAACTTTTCACCATTACAGCTCACAACAATTATTAAATAGTCTGAAATAAGAGGTATGAAGTAAGCCGCTTTAATACAGATACATAATTATAGCCGCCCATGTACTTGAAAAAGAGCTGGCTCTATCTTCCACGGGGATAATTTATCAGGGCGAGGGATACTAGTAGTCTCATCCCATTGTACCTGAAACCAATTAAATATTTTTAGGATTTCATTGGAATAACAATAGTTTTGATCTTCTCCAAGTACATACCTTGAGGGATCTCCATTTTGATTCTGCCCACCTTGTGGGGTCAGAGTCTTCAATCCCAACAATTGTCCCAGTAAACCTAATATAAATCAATAACACAAAATGTGAGCTTCGTCTTTCAAAGGAAAACAAAATAAATAGTTTATTGGTTTACCTCTGCTCAGGAGTCTCTTCGCCTTCAAATCTCATTTTAAACCTCATGCCTATGAAGTAGTTGTTCTTCACGGACTCCATATACTGATCAAACGGAACAATAAACTCAGATGGACTAGTCCTGTCACAAACAAAACATGGAAATTTAGTAAAAGCAACACTAGCAGACATCAGATAACGAGAACAAAACAAACCTTGGTTTATAGTTGACGGTAAATATGGTTCCTGTTGAAAGAGCGTGCCAAGCAGTGGCCAATACTCCAACATGCATGCTGTGGGTCGATAAAACAGAGGATGGCACATTTCCTTGTTGTCGCATGGCACGCCTTAAACCCACACGTAATTCCCCATTCTCACCCCTACAGAAGAGCCATATATTACAGAACACCAGACACAACTCAAGAATACCATGAACAACAAAAAGTTAATAAACCTTAGAAAGATAAATGCATCGCCTGCAATCAGCCTCTTGGAGCTAACAAACCGGCTCCACCCACTATGAAACAAATGCCTTCCTGGTTGACCTGACATAACACCGTACGAACATCAAATAAGATATTGTTAATAGACTAATAACAAATTCCTACTACCTCGAAAAATATGTATGAAACGCCACTCATTTGCATGCAAATCTTTTGCAACTAACTCCTGATTAGGAGGTTGACATGACATATCCTGAGAAAAGAAACAAAATGTAAGAGTGAATTAAAGAGCGTCTAAGAACAAAACTTCAGGAACACAAACCAGAGGAGGGAGACATTCATCCGCGTGCCGCCTAAGTACAGAGAATCCACCATGCGTACTTGTATCAGATGCAGTCAAGGTTTTGCAGAACGAGTGCACCTGGAACCTCGGGGGCGGAGGAGGAGGAGTAGCCTCTTTCTCAATTGCATTCTCGTCTTGCTGAAACCAAAAATATATAGGTATCAGCTTCTTGAACAATCAATATAATCATATCCACAAATGAAACATAAAAAATTACAACTTACAAAACGCTCGGGAAGAAGAGTAATCTTCGCATAAACCTCGTCGGTGTCATCATCTGCCTGCAAAATCAAACTATAGTTAGCTAACAATTCAAGACAAAAAAAAAAAAAAAACAATTCAAGACTTAGAAGCCAAACATTTATTTTTATTTACTAAAATGAGAGTGATGGAAACCTACCTTTAAATCAACATGAATGACTCGACAAAGGATCTTGGAAGGAAGATCATAGAGAGGCATCTGCTGTTCAGCTGCTTGGTTTGTTGATGCCTCCACCTACTCATCAACAAAACAACAAAAATTAAAAGAACCAAAAAAAACCAAAAAAATCACAGGTAAAAAAAAACCTCACCTGCTCAATATGTCCCTGAGGGAAGTAGAAGACATGGTCACCTTGTCTAGGTATCATCACGAGAGGACCAGCACAAGCGTGCCAGAGCTCTCTGTAGAGAGCAGCTTCAGGGTCTACTATACAAACCAAAAATTAAAAAAAACTAAGAAAAGTCGGAAACTGAGACAAAGATCGGTTAGACTTAGTTTTATTTGCCTCACCAGCGACTGTTGGTTCACTGTAAACAACTTCTCCTCCACGATTTGNCTAGGTATCATCACGAGAGGACCAGCACAAGCGTGCCAGAGCTCTCTGTAGAGAGCAGCTTCAGGGTCTACTATACAAACCAAAAATTAAAAAAAACTAAGAAAAGTCGGAAACTGAGACAAAGATCGGTTAGACTTAGTTTTATTTGCCTCACCAGCGACTGTTGGTTCACTGTAAACAACTTCTCCTCCACGATTTGATTTCATAGAAACCTCTGAATTCGCCATACTTTTCTGTATTCTTAAAACCACGAAGAAGTCACTATCAGACCAACCCCTGCGTCCTTGTTTATTCTTAAATATTAATATTGCTTAATCTTTACATTAAAATGGAACCTTTTTTTTGTGTGAGTTCAATCACACTTGTTGGAGATGAGAAAGTGTGATTGATAAACCAAGTTTATGTAGAACAGAAAAGGAGATTAGATAGAGAGAGAATAGAAGATAAGATAAGATTTGTTGTATTGATCATTTGATATCCACAAATGTTTTTACAACTCGTTATTAAATAGGATAAGCCTCACTCTTAACAAAACGACATCGTAATATAAATTGAAGATTCTATTAAACTTTCCTTTTTAGTAAATTTTTTTTCTTCTTTATTTCTTCCTTCGTAAGCAACGTTCATTCTTTTCTTCGATCTATGCTTCCTTCGAATGAAAGCTAAGGGCATAGCTAACTTATCAGCGATATGACGGAACTTGTTTTGATAAAGATCAGAGTCTAGATTATTTTTATACTAAGGAAATACAGCTCTTCACACGGAATTTTGTATTTTATCGAAAGAAAAATAATTTTTTTTTGTAAGTGTAATTAGAAATAATTACACTTAATACTCATTGTAAAATGTCATTTTATTTATTAGTAAAAACTGCTATTTGGTAATTTAAACAATTTTATGTATATTTATTATTGAACATTTGATATCTCCAAATATTTTTACAACTCGTTATTAAATAGGATAAGCCACACTTTAACAAAACGACAACGTAATCTAAATTGAAGGCTCTATTAAACCTTCCTTCTCAGTAAGAGTCTTTTCTTTCTCATTTCACTCTCTTTAAGCAACTTTCATTCTCTTCTTCGATCTCTGCTTCCTTCAAATGAAAGCTAAGGGTATAGCTAACTTATCAGCGATATGACGTAAATTGTTTTGATAAAGATCAAAGTCTAGATTATTTTTATACTAAGGAAATACCATTCTTCACACGGATTTTTGTATTTTATCCAAAGAAAAATAAATTTTGTTTGTAAGTGTAATTAGAAATAATTACCCTTAATACTCATTGTAAAATGTCATTTTATTTATTAGTAAAACTGTTATTTGGTAATTTGAACAATTATATATATATATATATATATATATATATATATATATATATATTATAATAAAACAAAGAAAAATCAAATAAACTATAAACGTGAAGACAATAAATTTGGTAATATGCAACTATACTTACAAAAACATTACATTTCAAAATATTTGAAGAATAAGAATTTTAATCGTTTACATCATAAACTTATATCTTATCGTATTGGTCTTTACATATTTTAAATTATAATTGATCTTGTATTGAGTATTTTTTTACTTTCGAACTGACAGTTTATGTTTTTTTTTTAAAAAAAAATTGAATTTCCTCATGTTCTATCTGATAGGTTTGAAAATATAGTCTATTATTTTTTCATATTTTTGTCCTTATTTTCTGTTACATTTGTTTGTTGTCAAAAAATACAACTTCAATTTAGTTGATTGACCAAATTTTCTAATACAATTGTTTAAGTGTGCTTATGTTTTATTTTCATTATGTCATTGTATATTTTTCTAATTGGTTTATTTTGTAAACGAATTTCATTTTTTTTTCTTTGTTTCATGTCTATTTATTTTATATTATGTATATGTTGAATTCTTAGTATATATTTTATTTTTTATATAAATACTAAAGACATAGTGAAAATTTTAAGTCAGTGTGTAATATTTTTATTTTTTACAGTTTTAGAATACATTAATCTTAGATCTTGTGTTCATATTACTTAAAAATCATATATTTATTTTATATTAAAAACAATTTAATAAAATATTAAAAAAATTTAAATTATGTTTAGTTAAATTACATTAACTTTCATTATTTTCTTAAAACAACTTTCACTATTTCTTATTATTCTTTTAAACTATATATGTATATATGTATTTTGTCATTTTCTTTACTTTGATATTAAGTATATTGTAATTGTCAAAATAATAGTTGATTGAATTTAACATGAAATGTAAATCTTTTTATATGTTCATTTATTGAATTCATATATATATATATATTATAGTAGCTAATTCATTACAATAACCAAAACTATTTCAAATTAGGTATGCAACTTGAAAATCTAATACTAATTGTTAGCACTATTTATAAAGGTACATTTAAAAAAAAAAAAATCAATTGTTATTATAAATAATTTGAAAGAAAAACTATGTTTTTTTGAAATTAAAAACAATTTATTGGTAATATATAACAAATTACAATACATTATCACTAATTTTCGATTATTTTATTTTATTTATTAATATTCTAATAGTACTTAAAATTAAGGAAAATTTGCTAAATATGACCCAAAACTTGGTTTCAAATGCAAAAGTAAACTCAAACATGAATCAAATGCAAAAGTAACCTAAAAACCTATTAAAATTACAACCATGCTCTTATGAACAAACAAAAAACCGATTTTTGTTTTGTCTTTCTAACCCCCGTAACTATTCTATCCAGACGACTTTCAACTAAGTCGTCTGGACAACTTAGTTGAAAATCGTCTAGTATAGTTATTCTTAACAAATAATTTAAAAAATTTGTAACAAACTTTTAGATAAATGAAAAATTGAAATCATGTAATTAACATATGTTTTAAGAGATATAAATTAAGACATAACAAAATTTAATTGTTTTTAGCATAGATGAGGGAAAGTAGTGAGTCATGGTATTCACTGGTTTAGGGTTTGCCAACATATGTTGTAGTATTGTATGTGTTGCTTAGTGTTAGATTTTCGAAAGCATACATTTTTTTTGAAAAATTTAAAATTTACCTAAGTGTGTTTATTGTGTATAGTAAACACTATTTAAGTATAATTTGATTTTATAACATGGTTAGTCAGTTAATTTAGTCAATTTAGTTTAGGGTTTAGGGTCTGGACGACTTAATATCAAGTCGTCTGGTAAATATATTTAAGCCAGACGACTTACTTCTTCTTTATGTCGAGCTGAAATATAAGTCGTCTGGGTGACTGAAATATAAGTCGTCTGGTACCAGTTTATCTTAAAAATAATTTATAATTTTTGTAAAAAATATTTTGATGAGTGAAAAATAAAAATCATGTAATTGTAATGTCACACCACTACACTACCATGTTTTATGCCATAATGTCACACCACTACACTACCATGTTTCGTATAAATATGTGACCAGAAATTTAATATATATTTGGCGGCCGCAAGCAAGTGTTTGATGGACTTGGTCCAAGGACCGCCTCTGATCAGCAGTAATAGTAGTCATCAAGTTACATAAATGGCTCGTGAGATTAGAAACAGTTTTCAAAATTGGGAGAGGTAAACGCAGGAGTGACTTTTCGGTTATCCAGGAAACTAAATTGAGTCGTTTGAACACTGACGCACCATTCAAAATTCTCACTGTAGTATGTGGTGATCTCCATCATATCTCTCCCTAAATAGTAAATCACGTGGAAATTCAAAACAAACATATTTGTTAGTTTAGATTTAATATTTTTGTCATAAATTAAGTGTCGTTTTAGAGTTTCGAGATAAAATTTATTAGTTTTTTATAATATTCTATTTTTTATTAGTTAAAAAATGGTTAGATATATAGTTAGTTATGGTTTTATTTTAAAAATATGTAAAATTAAATGTTTCCTTAATGTGTGCAAAAATACTGGTTCTCCCCTAAATACATACGAAAGTTGTAGTTATCTAAACTTGGAGACCATTGGATAGACATTTTGGCGATTTTACAAATTATTATTCGCGAATAAAGTCCAAACTCTAATGGGCCAAATAATTTGTAATAGCCTCTCGTAATAACGGGCCTGCTGAATATATTTTTAATAACAGTGAGATAACGTTTTAATTTCTTTAAAAAAATATCGGTTTTCGCCGACGAGTTAACTGACACTCCGGTATCGGAGATACGATGGCGTCAACGATGTTCAGGAGGAGATACTTCGTTTCGCTACTTCGCCGATCATTTTCCGACGACGCTTCATCCGAAATCGCGAGGATCCTCAACAAGGCGGCGAACTGGCGCGACGCCTTGGAATCGGCGGAGATAAACCCCGACGTCGTTCTCTCCGTCTTGCGATCAAAGCGCGTCGACGATCCAGCCAAGCTCCTGAGTTTCTTCGATTGGATCGATTCTCAGAAGGTCACGGAGCAGAGACTCGATTCGTTTTCGTTTCTCGCTTTAGGTTTGTGTAGATTCGGTAGTTTAAGGGAATCTCGTAGTGTTGTGGTGAGGATGATCGATAGGGAGTGGCCTGTAGGTGAGGTTTTGAGCTCTGTTGCGAAGTGTTCGAGAGAGTTGAGTGATAATGGAGGAGGAGGAGGTGTATATGGGATTTTGATTGATGTGTATGTTGAGAGAGGTTGTTTAGATGAAGCTGTGTTTGTGATTTTAAACAGTAAGGATTTGGTTGTTGATTTGTCAAGATTTAATCGTTTGTTGGATGTGTTTTTGAAGAGGAATCGGTTGGATTTGTTTTGGGAAGTGTATAATGAGATGGCTGAGAGGAAGGTAGTGTTTGATGTGGAGACTTATGAGAAGTTGATTGTTGCTCATTGCAGAGGTGGGAATGTGGAGTTGGCGAAAGGTGTTCTTGTTGAAGTGGAAGAGAAGTTTGGGATGGGGAGTGTGACTGCGTATGGTTTGGTAATCGAAGGGTTGTGTAGAAAGGGAGGTTTGGATGAAGCTGTTGAGGTGAAGAAGAGGATGATTTGCAGAGGGTTGGTGCCGTCGAAGAAGTTGTTTGATATGCTTGTAGGTGGGATGTGTAAGGGGAAGAGAGTAGATGATGCTAAAGCGTTGGTGGTAGAGATGAATAGCTTTGGTGTGTTTCCTGATAATTTTACTTACAGTGTACTGATTGAGGGTTTATTGAAGGGGAGGGATGCAGAGGCTGCTAATGGACTAGTACATGAGATGGTTTCTCTTGGGATGAACGTTGATCCTAAGATTTATGATTCTTTTATTTGTGTGATGTCAAAGGAAGGAGCGATGGAGAAGGCAAAGGCTCTTTTCGATGGGATGATTGCGTCTGGAGTGACACCAGGTGCTCGAGCTTTTGCTAGTTTGGTTGAGGGATACGTGCAAGGAAAGAATGCACTTATGGGTTATGAGTTACTTGTTGAAATGAAAAAGAGGAACATTGTCATATCTCCATATACTTATGGTGCAGCGGTGAAAGGCATGTGTTCTTGTGGGGATCTTGATGGAGCTTATAACATTGTGAAGGATATGGGTGCAAGCGGCTGCAGGCCCAATGTGGTTATATACACAACATTGATCAAAACTTTTCTCCAGAAAAGTAGGTTTGGAGATGCAGTGAGGTCGCTTAAAGAAATGAAGGAACAGGGGATCGCACCAGACACGTTTTGCTACAATTCCCTTATAATTGGCCTTTCAAAGGCCAAAAGGATGGACGAAGCAAGATCTTATCTAGTTGAAATGGTTCAGAACGGATTAAAACCTGATGCGTTCACATACGGGGCTTTTATCAGTGGATATATAGAGGCAGGGGAATTCGCATCCGCAGAGAAATATGTAAAAGAGATGCTGGAATGTGGTGTGGTTCCAAATAAGGTCTTGTGCACGGGTCTGATCAGTGAGTATTGCAAAAAAGGAAAAGTAATTGAGGCTTGTTCAGCATTCAGATCCATGATTGAGCAAGGGATTCCAGGGGATGCTAAAACATACACTGTTCTTATGAATGGTCTCGTGAAAAACGGTAAAGTAAATGATGCGGAGGAGATTTTCAAGGATATGCGTGGAAAGGGTATAGCACCTGATGTATTCTCTTACGGTACACTTATTGATGGGTTTTCTAAGTTGGGAAATATGGAAACGGCTTCTCGTATTTTTGATGAGATGGTTCAAGAGGGCGTGACTCCTAATGTCATCATATACAACATGCTGCTTGGTGGCTTCTGCAGGTCTGGTGAAATCGAAAGAGCTAAGGAGATTTTTAACGGAATGTCAGGAAAAGGTTTTCCCCCTAATGCAGTGACATACTGTACAATCATAGATGGGTGTTGCAAATATGGGGATCTAGAAGAGGCCTTTCGGTTATTTGACGAGATGAAAGTAAAGGGATTAGTTCCCGACAGTTTTGTGTATACGACACTTGTGGATGGGTGTTGCAGATGGAACGATGTGGAAAGAGCTATAACAATCTTCGAGTCAAAAGAGATGGGTTGTGTTTCTTCTACAGCCCCTTTCAATGCTTTGATCAACTGGGTTTTGAAGTTTGGAAAAGCAGAACTAAAAGAAAAACTGAGAAAAATGGTGATGGATGGGTCGCTTGATAAGCATGGCAAGGCCAATGATGTAACATACAACATCATGATAGATTATTTATGCAGGGAAGGAAATTTAGAAGCTGGAAAAGATCTTTTGCAAGACATGAAGAAGGCAAACCTGATGCCTAGTGTTGTAACTTACACATCTCTTCTAAACGGGTATGATAAAATGGGTAGAAGATCTGAAATGTTTGCTGTATTCGACGAGGCTATCGCCTCAGGAATTGAGCCAGACAGCATAATGTATAGTGTCGTCATTACTGCTTTTCTGAAAGAAGGGATGAAGACAAAAGCACTTGCTTTCGTGGATGAAATGTTTGCTAAGAACGCTGTTTTGGACGGGTGTAAGCTAAGTATGTCAACATGTCGGGCTCTACTCTCTGGTTTTGCTAAAGTGGGAGGAATGGAGGCAGCTGAGAAGGTTATGGAGAATATGATTAGACTCAAATATGTTCCGGAGTCTTCGAGTGTCACTGAGTTGATTAATGAGGGTATTTCCTCAAACGAAAGGATGGAAGCAGATGCTGCTCCATAGATTTAAGATGGGAAGCCAAAAGCAGATAAATTACTTCCTTGTTCTTTGTATAAACGAGACGGCTGGTTTACGGCAAATTCTTGATCGACTTGAAATTTCCAGAAGGTAATATTGATCATAACCTGATCTATTCTGCTTCGTCCTCTCACTTTTTGATCCTCTTAAACTGAGTACCACCAGACGAATCTTGACAGTCTCCATCTTTTTCTGAGTGTCAAATATTTGTTTTGTGTGAACGGATACAGGTGTTGCCTCAACCTAAGGCAAGCTGGTTGGGCATGATATGTCATTGTTTATTTGTTAAGTTACCGTTGAGAACTTTGCATGGAAGAGCCTATGTCTGCTCAGAAACTCTTCATTTAGTTCAGAATGGATTTGCCTTCACATAGTCATCATTGATGACACTCTGAAGTTGATGATGATAAGAGACGCATCGGAGCTGTTAAACTGCAATTTCCTCCATTTCTTAGAGAAGAGGGATCATGTCACAAAATCTGCATTTTCAGTTTTTTTTTCAAGATGTACTAAATGTTACATTGATGAATTGAGAATACAGTTTTTGGTTTAAGAATTGGTGAACAAAGAACATTCTGTAAACACAGGACCTGGTCCAAATTCCAAATAAATGAAAATTAAAGTCAGATTTGTCATATTGATGAATTGAAATATGTCTGGCGACCAAAGCAGGTTCTCGGATAGGCAAAACTACAAAGTTGTGTCTGAAAACATAAAGCAGAGCAGAACAACAACAATGGTGTCTTTGTCTTTTCATTACGCAAACAACAAAACACAGAGGTTTCCATCTTACAGAACATACAACCCCATACAAAAAACACCATATGTACACCAGAGTATATCATCAACCTATCAAGCACCAAAGAAAATCTACATGTATTATTCTTCTAAGCTCTTCATGAACAAAACAAACTAACAGACGAAAAGTGTTCAACAACAGAAACACTCTTCTAGTGCTAATACCGTTTCTTGCTCTCTGCGTGATAAAGCAAATCAAATGTTTATTTTTCAATTCATCAGATATTAGTTATCATCTTTTGGAGTCTGTTAATAATGCAATTAGGTCGCTGTCATCAAGGTCTGCCTTTAAAGCATATCTGACAGGTGTGTTACTGTCTTTATCAACAGCATTTGGATCTCCTCCCCTGTCATCATATCATTTCACCAGACTTATAACATCTGTCAAATTTTCATACCAGTTAAGAGTGCTAAATCATATGAAGTTTTACCTCAGAAGTAGCAACTTTGCAATCGCATATCTCCTGCTAATAATACAATGATGAAGTGGAGTCCGACCTTTTGAGTCTATTGCATTTATCTTCGCACCATACTGAAGCAACAACTCCACCATACCTATATCCGCATAAAGACAAGCGAGATGAAGCAAAGAACAGTCCTTTGAAGTTTCTTCTCTGACCATACTTTCCCCCTCTTCTTCAATTTTCGAGTTAGAATATCCTTCTGGATTCTCCTGAAACTCCTCTTCAATTCTCTTGAACTTGGCTTTGAGTGTTTCCTCCTTCGCTTCCAGTTGCATCATCTTTGATAAAGACAAAGACACCGTGTAGGAAGCTTGTCCACGTAGTGCATTCACATCTGTGTCAGAGCAGACGATGTGCTTGTAAACTGATTTCTTGTCGTTGGCACGGACATTCTCCCAAATCTCTTGTAAACTGTCTATTCCTTGTCGGACAAATATCCTCTCTGAGTACTGTAATTATACATTAAAATTAGATTTATTACAAAAAAAAATTTCTTGTTAACTCACAGGCTTTATTTAATACCTTAGCATGGATGAAAAGCTCTTTAACAGATATGGGATCAGTGACACCAGGCTTTCTTGCAAGTAACTTTCTTGGAGTGCTAAATAAATGGAAAAATATGTAAGAAAGTAATTTCGTATCCGAACAAATACAACTGATGAGAGTAAGTAGCTACTTACCCTGAAGATCTACTTGCACTAGAAGATCTAGTCTCTGAGTTTAACAACTCTTCCCACACTGAGTTTACATATACGTTACCTAACGATTGGAACAACGTCAACACCGATGGTTCCCATACTTTAACATCAAGCGTGAGTGATCTGACCTGCACGACAAGGTTGAATACTTCATACCAAACTTTGTATAGCTATTCAATAAATGGGAAGTTCAAGACTGAGAGTAGACATGGGCGTTCCGTGTTTGGATTCGGTTCGGATGAATTGAATTTTTTGGGTACTATGTTCATAACTTATAAGTCTTACTTGGGTTTTACTACTTCTTGGATTGGGTTGGGTTGGATTGGATTTGGTTCCTTCAGAATTCAGTTTGAATCGGACTATAACCAAATTCTGAAAATAGCCCAAACATTTTAGAAAAGAATTTTTTGAAATTGATTAAAACTACTTAAAATATATAAATTAGTCACAAATCTGACTATAACTGACTAGACTAACTAAAAAGTATTAAAATAACCAATAAAATAAACTACAATTTTCTTTAAAAAAATGTTCTAAAATGTCTAAACTATCTTAACATTTATAAAAATGAACATAGTTAACTAATTCCGAGTATTTCGAATCGGAACCTACTTCGGATCTCGTATCGGTTTGAGTTGTACCCGGATCCAGAAGTACCTAACTCTTAACTTTTAATAACAGTTCCGGTTTAGGGTAAAAACGTCCATGCCTAAATGAGAGACTGAAAAAGTGATAGGATTTTAATTGGCTTACCTTTGAAATGTGAACACCAAGGTTACGATGTATACCAGAACATTCAATACATATGAGTACTCCAAGATTCAAAGAAGCCCAATCAGGTTCAGGAGCACCACAGTCTGCACATTTCTCATTCCCCAACACTTTCGTCAACACATCAATAGGCGTCTCAGTCTTTCCCATATCATAATGTTGCTGCAAACACCCTGAAAACCTCAAACGGTTTCCTCCTGTCATGGGATTCTCCACTGTGTACTCTCCATTCTCTGCCTGCTCGATATCATATAGATCTGCTACAGAACCGGACTCACTTGCTGAGTAAGTATCTCCATCCATTGTAGAAAGACGCTGATACATTTGCAAGTAAGTGAAAACAGACACAAAAAAAGATTCAGCACTAATAAGCATATAAAAAAACTTTTACCATTATTGTTCTTTCAGGTGGCTGAGAACTTAGCAAAGAAGTAGTAACTCCAGTTATCTTCTCAATCCAGTCCATTTGATCTTGCGCATTCTCTGCCTACATCAGTAACAATTTAGTAAGGTAAAGAAATAAAGAATTATCAGTGTTCTTCCTAATATATATTACCTGCAATGTATAAACTTTTCTAGGGGAAATAATTCGAAAGCAGAATCTTAGATCAGTCTGATCTGCATCAACTTTGATCGTTGAGGTTAGCAGGTTCACAGTGAGACGTGCAACTGGTTTCTCATCGTGAACACCGCCGTGATAATGAGAAGACAGCCACCGACTTAGCAGGCCAGGACCGTTTTCTGAAGTCACATTCCTATTAATAGAAGACCTGTTCCCATTTCCCTGATAGATAAGAGCTTAAGTATAGATACAATACATCACAAACGTAGTTGTAGATATGCTTTTGAAACTTACTGAAGACCAGTTCCATGGCTTGCGGTAATAGTATAGCATCCCACGGCTGTCAAGGATGAAAAACCTTCTTTTCCAGTCACCTCTCAAGTTGGAAGAACGTTTAGATAGATACCCTTGTCTTATAGTCTGAACCTGTAAGGAGAGTAACGTCAACAAAAATATAAGACAAAAAACAGTATAAAGAGGGCAGTTATAAGAGGTTACCTTTCCTTTTGCAGCAGATTGCATGACAGCTTCGATGACTTTTTGTGAGTTTCTTGAGTTGTGTCTCATCAGGATGCCATCCCTTGTAGGGGAACCATTTAAGTTTCTAGCTTCTCTATCAACTTGTCTCTTGTATTCTTGCATCCTTTCATTAAGTGATGCCATTTCATAGTTTGTACATTCTCTAGATTGGTGTGCATAACTCAACACCTGCATTAAAATTACAATTAAAGGATAGAAAATTAAAAAAAAAAAAACAAAAGAATCATGTGTTACAAAGAGTCTTGTGTATTTTTGCACACCTGATTAATAAAAGGCTCCATTTGATGTAGTAGTTCATATCCCTGAAAGAAAGAATCACTTGTGAGAAACCAAACCAAGTAACACAAAACCAAGCTGAATGGTTCTAAATATAGTAAGCTTGCCTGTTTGAAGAAACGGAGATGAGCATCCACTGTTCCGCTGACAGCTTCCAAGAACTCAAATCGCTTTTTAGCTTCAGCATTAGAGAGTGCACTAACCTGACCATGAAAGAAGTAAGCATACATTTAATGTACGGTTACAGTTAGGATTAGAAATAAATTAAAAAAAGTGGGTTACCAGATGAAACCGGGCTTGCTCAAATGCAGCTCTTGCACTATGTAAGTCCTGAAAATGCCCTCTCTTACCAAAGTTAGTAGTTACAGTGAATGTTATATATGACTCTAGAGGATGTGTACATTACCTCCTCTATTGTTGCAGCCACATCCAATCGTGTACTCTTTCTTAATGAAAGAAACTTCTCTCGTGCCTGTTTCACTCAGATGCACTTTAATGAAGACACAGTTTTTTCAAACATAAATGTACTTATTAGTTGAGATATTATGAAGTCAGTTAAGGCACCTGGTCGTATATAATTGAAGCTTTGTCAAACCGTTTACGTGCTTCCTGGTGTGAGACAATTAAAAAGATGAATATAAGTCTCTGAAGCAATTTGAAAGGATTTTAATCCAATGTATTAGTACAAAGTGTACCTTAATTTCTTGGACATCAACATTCACAAACTGAACCAACCTGTCATTCAGAATATTCTCTACCTGAAAAGCATGTTCAACAAAACCAAATTAACCCCAAACTCAAGGAGACTAGTTCAGCTAGTAGATAGATAACTACAGTTCATCTCTTGTACAGGTGGCAAAAGGGATAGCAGTAGTAGTAGTATTACCTGGGAACGAAGAACTTCCTTGTATGTCCCAATTTCTCGAAGAGCAACAGTGAATTTTGTCATTACAGGACCTGAGAACAAAAAAATGAACATATATCTTCTTTGAGATAACAAGGAAAAAGAGAAAGAAGAAAGAAAAGTACCTCCAAAAGCAACACCGATGGGATCATTATGGCCACCTCCAAAAGATTCAAGTGCATTTACAAAGTCAATATCTCCATCATACCCGTCTCCAAGTCCCTCCCTAATAATAATTAAACCAAAGAAAAAAAAATCACAATCTAGAGAGATATATATAAATTCTTAAGAAAAACAGAGTATAATGTTGTTGTAATAAGAAAGAAGAGGGATTTTACGTGTATTTTGTGCATTCTTTGTAGAACCTTAAGCATCGCATTCCAAGCAAATCTGCACTCTCTTCCATACATTGCATCTGTTGCAATACCACAAAATAAAAATAAAAAATTTAGTTTATAAATCACTAAAACTCTAGTGCAGATTCAACACAACTTAGAACAAAAAGCATGACCACTCAGAACAGCAGAGAATAAGATCAAAGAACATCTTAATTCGAAGTCAACTCTTAGATTTTGATATGTAGACAAAAAATACATCACAAGCAACATAAATTGCGAGTTTTATACCAGAAAAAAAAAAAAGCATTTCCAGTAAAATCAATCTTTAAAAGTGTTCCTGATACATTGCTTTCATCCACAATGCATATTAGTTATATGTCATTATTCAACATTTGGCGATGAAGAAAAATATACAATTGCCCTCCAAATTCAAAAAAAAAGAACCTGTTGACGAAACATGGGGGAATCATCGAGCTTAGCGAAATGCATCCTTGACTTCCACTGGAGACTCTCAGGCAGAGAAAAATCAGAATCAGAAGCTCTTAGTTGGGGATTAGGGTTGTTGTTGTTGGTTGACAAGTGGGGAAAAATGTGATCAAAACAAGGGAACGAAAGATCGTGCGATGGAGAAAACAAAATACTCTTTTTGGTGTTTTGTGATCGTGTTCGTACAAAACCCTTTGAAACCTTTCATGGCTGTCACTCTTTATATTTATATATTTTATGAAATGACATTTTATATACGCTTAACCTGCCACCGTTTAATGATTTGTTGGAGGAGACTATAATTGATTATGCAATAAGACTCTGAGGCATGAGCCATCCATGCGCGAGTCCACATTTGTTTAGAAGTATCTACTTCGCTTTACACGGCAAAATAGTAGATTTAAGAGGCAGCAAATCCAGGAGCAGTTGACAAAGTTAAATTATTAATATTTTGATAAATTTAGGATGTTAAAAAAAAACACAAATCACGATATTTTATTATTAAATAACATATATATATAAAAGCATAAATATTTATTTATCTATATTTTTCATAGAACGGCAAGAGAGTAATAGTAAACACATTTGATTCCAACGAATATCCTGCCGCCTATTTTCTTCTGCTAAATTTAAGGTCAAGTAAATTCAGAAAACCACAAATACCGCAACTCTTTTTTTCGGCCAGAAACAGTGGCCTTTTAAACAAATTGCAGAAAACAATTAACTGTCCAAAACTTCAAGTCTCATTAAAAGAATAGCAAAATGTAAATCTCGGTCTAAATTGTGGTTCAGAATGATCTTACGACAAAAAAAAAGAAACAGGATGGTTGTTCAGAAGCTAAAGAACAACAGGAAGTTTGAGAATATGGTAAAAAAAAAAAAAAGGAGAAACCGAATCAGAGATTCTTTTTAACCTGAGGAAGAAGACTTTTTCAGCCCCAGAGACGACTAATGAAACCTCTCTGGACTTTCTTCTTCCTTTCGTCAAGTACCGGGAAGTCAATGCAATTGTAGGCCAAGTCTAGAACAATCGGGTTACGAGGTATAGACTGGAATGCAGGAGGGAACCGTTCGATCTTTGGTGCCATTTTTGTGTTCGCATCTCCAACTGCTGATTCATACATTTCCAGTTTATCTACCAGGTATTTCTCCACCTGTGGTTTGATTATGAGACATTGCGAGATTAACAAAAATGACATAACAGCAAGATGCATAACGTGAGATGGGGATGTTTTATACCATTAGCATTAAACATGAGGTAAAATAGTGAGGTTGTACCTTAGTGGCTGTATCGTTTAGAGATATAGTTGAGATTTTCTTTGACAGATTCTCTGGCGCCTTCTCTTCCTCCATGATCCCTGTCGCGTGTTCTATGCAACTATTAGCTCTGCATTCTTTGCTCAGTGCCTTCAGTTCCTGGATTATTCCCTGATAATAATTGGAGAAAAAAAGAAGTCAAAAATTAATATTACTTGAGATTATAATATTTATGGTCTGGGCATGCACCGTGCCCAATGAGGAGGTATAGAGCTACTATTCAATGGTAAATGAGGAAAGACAAAATAAAATGATAAGTGGATACCTCATCTTTATTTGCTATGCTCTGAAACTTGCTCAGGGCATCTTCAGCAAGAGATCGAGCTCGACAATATAAGGCATAAGCCTCAACCCTTTTTCCTGCTAGGCTATATGACTTTGCCAAATAGAAGCACCTGAAATGTGATTCCAGAATATATCATAAGCTAGCTTACTCAAGGCCGATGAAAACTGAATGCATTGGTAAGTACGTTGAAATAACTTTTCTTATTCCGTATACTCAAATGGGAAGAACTGTGTGAGCTAAAGTATCTAATAAGTGATTCTAGAAAAGACAAAAAAAAAGTAGGTGAAAAGATAACTGATGGGGGGTATGATTCCTAACTTAATGAATACAACTAACTCATATTAAGGATTGGATAAACGGCTTTGAGGAGCTTAACTCTAATCAAAGATGCTAAATCAAATAAAAGATATAGGGAGGCCAACTCAATGGCAATCACCCGACACAAATACAATAACGTGGAAAAAGAACTAAACCTTTCAGCACGAAAGGCTAAGCTTTTGCGCTGACACTCTTCTTCGAAGGCAATCTCTTCAGGTTTCCTGTCTCTTCCAGAGCTAATGAGGTCAGAAAGATCAGCGACATTCTGAAAAAAAAAAGAAAAAAATAAATAAAGGTGAGGTCTTCTAGATGGTTTAACATACAAGATTCGCTTCTGAAGAAAAAAAAACAGGTGAACAGTGGTTAACCTGTAACAGAAGGTCATACAATCGAACAAGCTCTTCAGGCTTGGTAACCTTTTCAGTTTTCTCATCACGTTTCTTGTTCAGTTTACTCTTTGCTATTTTAACTAACAACTGGTTCCTTTCAATGGTTCTTTGTCCTAGCACAGCTCCAACAGCTTTGTCCAGACCATTCAGATCATCTTTAACAGATTCAGCATTTCCTGCACTTACCTAAAAAAGTATACTGCTTGTTAAACAAGATCAGCAGGGAGAACCAAAACAATAAATCAGCGTATCTACTGTAAAACCACTCACCAAGTCACTGCGTATGGTGCTCCTCGCATCATTATATGCAGTGAATAATTTATCATACATGGTCAGCTTTTTCTCAGCAGGGAGAGACTCTGCTCCTGGACCCTGTAGCTCCTTCTCAAGATCTTGTGCTGAACGAAAAAGGAACAAAGAGTAAGAGCCGCAGAGAATACAATCAAAGCAGGTTATATTAAGAAGGTAACGCATAACAGTAACTACATAGTAAAGGCAACAAATATTGTCTCAGATCATAATTTGTCCGCAAAACTGATTAGTTCAAAAAGAGGGAAACAGAAAAAGTTACTCGAACCTTTTAATATAGAAACCCGAGATTTTGGGTTGGAAACTGGAAATCTGTAGCCAAGCCAATTAAACTCTGTAAGAGATGCAGCTTGTTGAGATCTGGCCTCTTCCATAGCAGCCTATGTGACAGTGAGCAATATACATCATATTAATACAAAATGTCCGAGAGATCTGAGAAAGAGTTAACCACTAAACCATTGCAAAACATTCAAGAGTAGCCAAGATCGTATACATGTAATTAGTATTTATGTGTGCTGGTCACAGGTGATAAGCGGACTCTAAGCACAATAACAGATGGAAAAGCTAACAAACAAAAATGTTATGCTTCAGTAATTATGCGGACTATTGAAACATGTATAAACAGTTAATCACTTGCTTCGGTGGTGAGGCTAACAGAAAGTGATATTTGTACGTACCTCAATCTTTGCTTTGAAAAGATCCAATGCAGGACCTTCCATCTCGCCAATCTGACGTAGTTCAGATGTCTGCAAGTTTGTTTTGCCGATTTTGAGTAGGCAGTATCGAATACTGGGGTCAAGCTCCTCAACCCGTTCCCGACAAAGAACTTGGTTCTCCAGATCACCATATTTCCCGAGTTCCTCGTAAACAGCACTGCGACATCAAATAATTTTCAGAAACAAAACCTACCAAATTGCAAAAAGAAGACCAGATACTGAACAAAGACAAACCTGGCGTTTTTGAAACATGCCAACGCAGTTTCCCAATTCTGATCTTGCTCAAACAACAGGGTGCCTTTCATATACGAAGCATATGCCTACAAAAGAGTAAAATAAAGTATGAAACACTCATGTCCTGCGTTTATAGTATACTTTACAGGAATCCCCCAAGAAAAAGCTTAAAACTGAGGTGTTCTCATCTTCCATTCAAGGCAGTGGATATGTCAGATAAATACCTCAGCTTCCAAAGATGTCCTGGAATCCGTCTTAATAGAGGACAGACTCGAGAAAAGCGAAGCCCATTTCACTGCCTTCCTCAACCTACCAATTAAATATATCCTCTGCCTTGCATTAGGCCCATCCGGTAGCTGCCTCTTCTCCATCGCATGACTCCACGCTCTTTCCGCCATATAGAAAACCACATGAAGAAACCTAATTCCAATCAAGAAATAACATTAAAATCAATTATAATGAAAGCAAAAACTGAGCCTTCACAATACTTCAATGTTAAGATTAAACATAAAAAGCCAGGAATTTTATGCAACACATCTCAAACAACGAAACCTTCAAGTTGGAAGGATAATTATACCTAACATCAGTGACAGTTGATTCAAGAATGGCTCGGCGAGTGTATTTACCACGTCCATGAGTAAATTTCAACGACTTGTATAGCCTCCTCAACCGTGCTGAGCAGTACCTCCTACACAACAATTAAACATTAACATTAACTGAAAAAAAAAACGTCTACGCCAATGAAATTAGGGTTTTATATATATAAATACCGGTAACGAGTATAGTCACCACGACGCAGACCATGTTGCGCCTGAGAAGATTTCATGATCTGCAAAACTGAATAATTCCAAACGCATAGATTCACTACCAACGGCCAAAATTCGAGATTTACAGACATGCAATTGAATATGTATATATACTAACCGTTCATCGAGAATCTCGGAATGATCTGTTCAGAGCCGTCGGATTTGGGATCGTCGATCTCCATCGCTGACATCTCGTTCTCCTTCTTCCCCATCTACTAAACCCTAGCTTAAGCAAAAATACAACCAATTGATGGATTCATCGAACAAAAACACAGCAATAACAAATCGTCAACAAATGTAAGGCGGATTTAGCTTAAACAGTTACTTTTTAGATCTCGCGGTGGTGAATATTGGATATTCTGATGGCGATTTGCGACGGCGAGTGTGTATGTGATGGGAGCGAGTTTTTCAGTTTTCGAGCGATGACGAGTAAGAGAGGGCGAACAGGTGGGCTAATGTTATGGAGTTTGGTAGTCTTGTTTTATCTGGGTAGATATGGGCCTAAAGCCTTATCAATGTAGGCCCATATGATTAAGTATATCTTTGCAACAGAGATTTGATTTGGGATATACTTTACCTTTTTTGAAAGATTGTACAAAGACCATTACAAATTTTGTTAAACCTATATGAATTTTTATGTAGTCATTTTTAATGCTAGACAAAATCACTTTAAAATATCAGTAAGTTTCTTATATTGTTGGCTGTCTAATATAAACTTTTACCATATATATTATTTTTAACCCAATTTTACTAGTTCTTCAACAGCAACAAAAACAAATTAGTGGTTTGTAAACATTGATAATTGTTTTTTTTTTTGCATATTACGTTTGTCATGAAATAATAAAAAAAAAAATTAGAAAACAGTTAATGATACTTCGTTTTTATAAAGTTTTGTTGCCGTATATTATATGTTATTTTTAAACCTGGATTAGCGATGTATTTAAGGTAAATATATAAGTACACACTAGACAGGCCAGTGTAGATTGCTGACATAAATAAAATAACAGAGAAAATAAAATATTCTGACATTTTTAATGATTGAAAATCAATAGATAATTGATAAATAGACCGACGGAAATCTATAAGATAAAGGACCGGGTGGACCATATTAACAACCAAATAATTCAAAAATCATTATAATACATATTTAGTTAACTTATCCAATGATATAAAAGGTTTATATAATGTGCCATAATTCCATTGGTTATTGCATCTGTCTTGCTGTTCTGTCCAATGTGTTCTTCAAGATTTAGCACGTGAAGCCTTAATATAATTTATTTTCAAGGTATAGTTTCACCTCTTAAGCAGATGTCAAATCAGTGATGTACTATACAAATTTCTGCAACATTTGATTTTCCTGTACTGTTTTCTCATTCGTAAAAAGTAAAAACCAGTGTTTTTTTTTGTTGAGAAAGTAAAAACCGGTGTGTTGCTGATTTGAATTGTGTGTGGTCCTTAAACAATACTAGCATATATGGAATAGTTGTAACTTGTACGTCACACCATAGTAAGATTCAATAAAATATGATTCTCACTTACCAATGATCTCATTCTCAAGTTTTGAATATCTTTAGATGTTAACTTAAGTATCATAAAACAATAAATATTTAATAATGATGACTGTAGCTAAGTGATTCCAGACTTCCAAGAACGTAGGCATGTGAGACCAGCGTGACACTACAAAGTCTAATAACAAAAGAGGATTTTATTGAATGCTAATTCTAATCAAATCTCGCTTATAGATCTAAAAGCTGGAAGCCGGTCTGGTATTAGTTGTAATTCAACGCCGGTTAGATACGGTTAACCTCAAGTGGATCGATGAATCCAACGGCTCATGTGAATAAGGTGCACCGAGATTTTAAATGGTGAGTGGAGTAGATGACCACAGCCCGAGCGCTGGTTCAGCTTTTTGATGTGTAAACTAATGAAATACTGACACGTGGAGGCGTTGAGAAGAGCATCTTGAAGAATAAATGCTTTTCTAATCCTTTACGCAGCGCCTAGCAGCATTTAAAATACGGGACAGTGACCCTCTCTCACACGCCACTCTCAGTTTCATCCACTAGTCAGCTCAGCTTAGCCCGGTTCAAGTTATGTACTGTATCAATGTGAATCATCTACTCGTTATACCATATGATAGTGGACCACTACTATCGTATTAATACACTCATACCTCTGTAATTAAGGAGGGAGGAGAGATATACTCTACTTGACATTTTCAGAAGAATATATATTTTTAAGATAAAAAATGTTCGACGGAGATCCCAATTTAAAACACTTCATGAATCTTTAAGCAATGCATTTATACACAACAGAACACAAAAAAAAATTATAAACTTTTGTTTAGCTAGTAAATTGACAGACGAGAGATATCGTACACGACACTCACTTTCGGCCATATTCCAATGTTTCACGGTCGACTTGCTACGTGATTCCGTTCTGTGTTTTTTTTTTCTTATATTCTACCGTTAAAATCATGAGATAAAAGACAATAGTGGATGACTTTTCTCCCCATACCACTTTTTTTTTGTTTTCTCTATTTGGTAGTTCGAACCTGCACATGCTACATCTGGTAACGTGGAAAGTTTTGCCATCAAACCAAATCAAAAATCACAATCAAGAAAGAGAGCTAATGAGCGAAAAAATCGTTTAAAGATAGTATTGAACCAACGAAGCAAACATTATCTCCAAAAACTACTATGACTTTATGACAATTTATTGTTGCTTAGCTTATTTAGTAGCATGAGACTATAGTTTCAGACTTTATTTTGTACTTATGTTTTCTTTAGAAAGAGAAGAGTGTAACTATAAAAACATATCGATTTTTCTTCTTTTTAAATGGCTCCTCTTGAGTTCAACATCCACAACAAATAGATATTAAAAACTTAATCAAGAACAAAATGATCTTTCTCAAAAAACAAGTTTATATTCTCTTTGTTTCAATTTTAACTGTCATTGCGTTTTTACACACAGATTAAAAATCATTTAATTTTACATATATTTTTTAGAAAAAACACAATTAGTTATACATCTAATCATATTTAACCAGTAAAAAATAGAATAGAGATAAAATTAATAAATTTTATATTGAAATAATAAAACGATATTTATTTTAAAACAAAAATTTTATTCTACAACGACAACAAAACTGAAATGGAAAGAATATTAACTTATAAAATTATCAATATATTAATAATTAATTTATAGAGGTTAAACTGTATATATTATATAATAGCTACGTGTAAATTCCCAACTTCATTTCTACACTTTTTTGTCAACAATTTCATTTATACATTTTAATAAATAGTTTGTATATTAAAAACAAATCACACTTTGAAAAAAAAAAAGAAAAAAAAATCAATAAGTCCACATGTTCAGTAGTCGGCTCCTTGGTTATAAGCCGCGCTCATCGATTGCCGTCAAGACTCTCGTGTGAGTCCGTAATTTTTTTATTATTGCTTTTCAGTTTCAATCATAATCCTACGGCCCAGATTTAATCTCATACCATACAACTAGATCCACCCTACACACAACACAGCAGAGTCCTTCTCCTCTCCTCTCCTCTCAACTCTATTTTGTTTTTTTGTTTCCTCTCATTCTTTCTTTATTCTAAACCAACTAACCGAAAAAACCAAAAAAAAAAAAAAACTCTCTCTCTCTCTCCTCTCCGTTTCTCTCTCTTCGAGAGACTACCGGAACCCTCAGAGTCTCGCCGGAACTATTATAATAACCGCCGGTCACAGAGATTATTCGTTGGAAACAACGCGTCGTTAAGAGGAGAGGAAATTCAAAAAAAAAAAAAAAATTAGAGACAACATCGATTCACTTTTTTTTTTAAAATATTCTATTTGAATTTTAGGAATTAAATATTGTGCGATGGATGTGATTGGATAGAAGGAAACAAAAAGGAAAGGAGGAAGATAAAAGAGAGAAGAGCGAATCATTCTCTCTCTCTCTCTTCTTCTCTGTTGAACGAACCTCGCTGTTGCTCTGTGTTTGTTCTCTTCGTGCTTAAGAGGTTTACGAGATCTTTATTTATTTATTTATTCAACTGGTTTAGCGTAATTGTGTTTGTTTGTAATTAGGTAAGCTATTTGTATTTTTTTTTTTTTTAATTGGTGGAGCGGAATTTAGGTTTTATTTTTCTTGAATTAAGTTGCCGAAGTTTGTGAATTAGGTAGGAGTTGGTTCCATGTTTGCATAAAATGAGCTGAACAAGGGGATCATGAATTAGGTTAAATTGTAGTCTCTTATGGCTTTTTTTGAAAATACCTAATCATGTGTTTTCGTAAATGGAGTGGTTTAAGATAGTTCCTTCTTCTTCCTGGAGTGCTTATCTTGGATTTGGGGTTTGATTTTTGCTTAGTTGTGACTGAATTCTTGTGTTTTTTTGTTTGTGTGTCTCTTTGCTTGATCTATACTAGCTGATAAGTGAGTAATTGGGTCCTTATCATTTTTTTTTTGTTGTCTGGAAAGATCTTTCTTTGCAGTGAGAAGTGGATTTTTGTTTCTTTTGTAGATTTACTGGATTTTGGATCTAAAACTGGTTGTTTATCTTTCAGGGGAAGTGATATGGTTTGTTGAAAAAACTAGAAAAGCTACAGAAGAGATTTTCGTTTTTATTACTCGAAATTTTGTTGTCAATCTGCATGATGCCGTCTGATATAATGGAACAGAGAGGTGTATCAGCACCTTCCCACTTTCGTGAAGATACTCATATTACTTCAGAGGTAACTCTTGTTTTTTTTTTTTTTTAATTGTTTCAGGGTTTTTTAACTGTGTAGCACTAGAATTGGTGGATCTTTGTCACATGTGACATTATTTGCATTATTATCTGTGGTGTTTAAAACTGTTTTTTTTTTTGGTTTCTGAAATATACTTGTTCTTTTGTTTGGCAGAGGCAATTTGGGTTTGTGAAAACAGACCTGATGCCTGAAAACCAAGGGGGTCGTGATAGGTTTTCAAATCTGCCAAAGAGTTCCTGGATACCTGAAAGCCACCAGCTGAAGCCACAATCTAGCTTGTCTGGCGTGCAACCCTCTGTTAGCCCTAACGCAAGAAACACCACAAATGGTAGCCAGTGGGAAAGTAGTTTATTTTCCAGCTCACTGTCTGATACATTTAGTAGAAAACGTAAGCTACTGGTTCACTTTTCTGATGTTATTTATTATGTTGATTTTGTTTAATCTTCTAAGGAAAGTTTGTTAATCTA